GTGCAACGGATGTAGTGACAGCACAAGGACTCAGGCTCAGTGCTCCGTGGATCCATAAGGATCAGCGTGGTACGGAGGCACAAATCATCTGCCAGCAGCGGACACGCACTTTTGAATCTTAAAACACACAACTCTGTATATTACACTTCCACAAGTGATTAATAAGGGTACAAGGAGTGCCTTTGCAAGAGAGGACACATGAAATAGCTGGGGAAAAAAAAAAAAAAAGAAAGAAAGAAAGAAAAAAAGAATAACTAAAAGAATACAGGACAGCAGAACTCCCCGTATGAAGCATTAGAAGCTTCCTCCACCTAAAGGCCTCTCTGACTTCACATCTGCATTAACTTTTACTTCTACCAAAGCCAGAGAAATTCACAAAAAATGACAGAATGTCCCCAGTGAGCCCAGGCTGGGTGTAAGTGCACTGTGACAGACTCAGCACCACCTGAGCAGCCATCAGCTTCCTGCACACATCCTGTCCTGCAGATCAGAGATAGCAGGATCTGGGGTGGGTGAGTGGATGTCAAGAGGATGTGGAGCCCAAGGTCCAGGATGGACATCTGGCCGTGGCACAACTGCCTGCAACACACAAAGCAAGGGCCCGAGGCCAAGCCCCCACTCTGAGCCTGACGCTCTCCTTCCCAGCCTTACCCAGCCGCCTGGCACCAGCCTCCAACTGCAGGCCCTTTTACTGTGGGCTCAGAAGCCAGGAATCCCTGTCTGTATGCAACCCTGAGGCTACAGAGCACCCAGACTTGCCACTACATTTAGATAAATCCCCGTTTTGTTTTTTTTTTCTTAACACCTGCTCTTCTACAATGGCCTGAAAAGTAATTCTTCAACCATGTTTCAGCAGAGAATGGATCACCTGCGTGTGAATTAATTTCAAGGGAGATATAGATAGCAGAATAATTTAGAACTAGCTTTTCTCTCTCCTTTCCTTTTCACTGGGATAGCTCTCAGATTAAATCCACTGAGATCAATTGAGACATTCCAGATTTTTCCCAGTACGCATTTTTGTAGCTTAGAAAACAAACACTAGAAAAACCAGACAACCTCCCAAAGCTGAAATTGCCCTTTCCATTCAAATGCGGTGCTGTACCCAAACTGAAACTGTCACACAGCCCGTTAATCTCCATGACAAAACACATTCTTTATTTAGTAAAATTACAGCACTTAGTTGAATGATAACAGTATTTACATACTGGTTTATGAGCTCCTGAGATATTTTTCAAGCAAATAAAATAAGAGAATAGGTTACGGTTTATTGAAATAGGAGCTGCACTGTTCCTAGGAGAACAGCATACTGCTGCTATTATCACTCCTGTGTTACAAGCATTAAAGCAGGGCTGTCCTTTAAAGGGTTCCTTGTGCCTATCACACACCAAAACAAACTAAGCCAGTAGTGTGGAACAGCCCTTGGTCATAACAAAGGCAGCCCTCAGCATCTACACAACAGATCCAAATTTGCAAAAATTCAGAGGCCTCCCAAAACAACACCAACATTTGGTACAACTTTACTCTGCAGAGCAGTCTGAACCTAGGGAAAACAGGAAGATTAGAAGAACAAAACAAACCTACTGATGTCACTGTTAATGCTGTCACATTCCTACTTGTGGAACAGCACCCAACTAAAATTAAACACAGAAATCACCACCATCACCCAATTATTGGAAGAAAAAGGATTAGGCTGATGAGGTGACCTACCACATTCTGAAGAAGACTTCTGGAAAATAATCAACAGCAGCTCAATAGCATGATAATGTGAATGAGGACCACAAGCACCTACACAGCAGCAGTTTCCTGTTAGTAAATACCAGGCCTCGTGACAATACCTAAACACAGCATCTTCCACTGACCTGAATGCTATCTTCAGAGGTTTTTTTTTCCCCAGTAAAACATCGTCTCGTTTGACTGAGAACAAGGTCACCAAAACCAAAGCACTTTTATCAGATTAGAAAGCTTTTACATACTTCTCATTTTTTATGAGACAATCGTTTTCTATTAAAACATTGCTTATTCAATTATGCCTACTTTTAAGTAGATGGGTAGAACATCAGGCCTTACGCCTGGGAAGGGCTGCACAGCCACCAGGGCCCGCAGAGGACAACACACAGCACTCAGCCTCGGGCCGGGGCCACAGCCGCTGAGCCAAGCATTGCCTCTGCTCATCATGGGGAGCTACAGAGCCTGTGGGAACGCGAGCACAGGCTGACATCAAACCTGCTGCACAGTAACTGCTCTTAGGAAACCTTTGCAGGCAGTGGTAACACTAACCACATCCCTTGGAGGAGAAAACAGGCTTTTCCAATAGTTTCCTGCTTTTTTCATATACGTTGTCACCCTTCCAACAATGTTTCAAATAGCAGACCGAAGTACTTTGTCTGCAGCATGCCAGCATACACATACACACCTGTATCCCAAACAAACTTGGTAATAATGCTCAGTTTGAAAGCTGATAACTCCTGGATTTATATTTTCAGTTCAGCGTTGCACACAGTGACACAAAGAACATAACCTCAGTAAAATAATCAGGCACAGGAGGAACTGGCATTCCTGTATGCACACCAGGAAGCCGGGTACTTTGAAACACTAGTGTGACGGTAACCACGGCTGCATTTAAGAATTAGCCTACAGCAAAATGTACCCGTTTGCTCTTCACCAATAGCTTTCTTCACTGTTTTCCCTCCTTTCAGATAAGCTGTCACAAATTTTGAAGTATCAGAGCAGCTTTGCAGCAGACGCAATCAGGAAAAAAAGAAGGGGCATAAACCAAACATTTCTACTGTTCTGAAGGGTTTGCTAAGTCTGACAAGGATTCATGCAGACGGACAGCTGTGTGCACGTGGAGCTGTACTGACAGCACCACTCCTCTCTGCGTGCCACCCCAGAGCCCAGTGCTGCTGGTTTGGATCACGCTTGCAGAACTGTGGCCCAAGCAGGAAAATTCCTGCACTCATGCACAGTTGAACACACAAACTTACAGGCAGCTGCTCTAAAAATACATTCACCTGTACCAGGTACACAGTAAGGTCATGCTGCTGCAGTAAGAAATCCAGAGCCATGCGAAAGAAGCAAGAAGTAAAATCTGATGTCAATAATAACAATAATTATAACACGATATGGTCAAAGTCTGCAGGGACCACCTTGCATCACCACTGAGTACCAATTTAAGGAGACTAAAATACAACCACCATGACGTTTTCCTGCCCAGATTTGTACCTTCGTGTTTTTAGTACCACAGTCGCCTGCTGTGCAGTGTGTAGCTCAATTTATTTCCAATACTGTAATTTCTGCAACATTAGCACAGAACGCCAGCTCCAATATTCTTACTGTTTGCACTCGAGGAGTAGACTCGCATTTTCCGCCAACTCCATTACGTCATCCGAAAAACCCAAACATTTCTTTTTCCTCTTTCCCCCACCCCCACCCCGGCGTCCCCGTCCCGCAGCCCCGCACACCGCCGGGAACCGAGCGCGCGGCGCGCCATCTCCGCCGCCGACCTTCGCGCTGCAGCCGCGCGTTACATAACCGGCGCCGCTCTCGTGCGGCCGTGCCCGGGCGGCTCGGCGCGGGGCGGAGCGCTCCGGAGCGGGGCGCGGAGCGGGGCCCCGTCCCGCAGCGGGGACATGTGGGTCAGCGGGTCAGAAGCGCCGCGACCTCGCGGCTCCGCACCGCGGTCGCGGCCGCCCCGGCGCCGTCCCGCGCGCTCCCGGCGGCAGCGCCGACCGAGCGTTACATAATTGATGGACGCCCCGCGGCGCCCTCCGCCAGCGCCGGGTCCGGGCCCCGCCGCCCCGCGGCACCATCTGCCCGCGCCCGCCCGTTGTGTAACGGTCGCCGGCCCCGCGAGCGCCCGGAGAACTCCCCGCCGGAGAGAGGCCGTTTCTCCGGTGTTTCTCATTAACCCCGTTACATAAGGCGCTCGCGCGCCACATCCTCTCTCTCGAGCGCTAAATATACCGCGCCGCGGGCGCCCCGCACGCCTGGCCCGGCCCCGCCCGCGGCGCCACCGCCCCCCGCCGCCCCGCACGGCGCGGGGTCCCCGAGCTGGAGCTGCCCGCGGAGGGGGCGTGGCCGAGCAGGGAAAAATACTGTAAAACACACGGCGGCACATGGTCAGCCATGTTCCGGCCCGCACCGCGCGCCCCGCCGCCGAGGACGGCCCCGCTCCCGGCGCCCCGCACCTCCCGGCGCCCCGCAGGGCGGCCGCGGGCGTAGTCGCGCGCCTTTATTTAATCCGTCGCCCTCCGCCCCCCGGAGCGCTCCCCCTCTGGCGGGGGCAATGCCCCTCCCCGCGCGGTGCGAGCGGCCCGGGGCCGGGCGGGGAGGGGCTCCCGGGGGCTCCGCTCGAGGAGCGGCGGCGAAGCCCCCTCCGAAGTTGCGCGCCTCCGCAGAACAACGGCGGCCGCGAGAGCGCCCGCCCCGCGAGGAGCCGGCTGTACGGCGATGAATCGAGGGAAAACGGCACGCAGAGGGCGAGCGGGTCCTCCCCACACCGCCGAGCTCCCTTTAACCGCGGATCCCCCATCCGCGACCCGGCGAAGCGCACCGGCTGGGAAACTGTCAAACAGACGCGCCGGGAGGGGGGCGGGGGGCAGGAAGGACGCTGCAGCTTTAAAAGTTTGTTCCCTCGCATCCCCACACTCGGGCTGTTGCTTTATATATTTATAAATTATGTAATTTCGGGAGCGCGGTGCCCATCCGGACCCCGCGGGCAGCGAACTGGAGCGCGAGGGGACCGCCGAACCCCGAGCCCCACTCGGTATTCCGTCGCCTCCGTCCCTCCTCCCGCCGCAATTAAAAGAAGCGATAAAAGTTTGAGAGGTTTGGCAGGGGGTTGGAGCGCGCCGCGTTTGCGTGCGCGGCTGCCACGAGCGCCGGCGGCACCCCGGGGGATGAAATCGCCGCATTTCCCCCTTCTCTTGCCCCCCTCTTCCTATTCCCACCCACCCCGATCCCACTCCCCCGGCCCCCTCCCCCCTCCCCAAGTCTCCTACCTCTGCCGCCGCCGCTGGAGTAGCTCTGCCTGCGGACCGGAGCCGGCGCATCGCCTTTCCGGGCGGGCTCCAGGTTCACCGGGGCGTCCCTGGCGCCGGCGGCCGCCTCGGAGCCGCTGCTGCCCGGCTCGCTGGCTGCTGGATCGGGGGCTGCCGGAGCGGACTCCATGTTTTTCCCAATGTAGATCGCTTGGAGATGGCGAGCTCCTACACTCCCTCTATCTTCTGTTTCCAGCGCAACTCTATGGTAGAAAAGCAGAAGGGAGAGAGCGAGCGCGATCCAGATGGGATGCGAGCTTGCCTGGCTGTGACCACAAGCAGCGCTAGCGAGAGCCGCGCACCCCCGCCCCCGCACCCCCCGCGCTCTCCGCGCCCCGCCGCCAGCCGCGCGCCCCGCCGCCCTCCGCCATGGCCCCGAGCCGCGGGCACGGCCCCGGGCACCGGGCGGGTATCCGGGGAGGTTGGGCCGCCCCGGCCCTGCCGAGCCCCGCGCCGGGCCCCGGGGAGGCGAGGTGCGGCCGCGTGAAGCGGTCGGCCTCCTCCCGAACCCGGACCCTCGGCTCGGTCAGCCCGTCCGGGGAGGTCGCGGCTCCGGCCTCACCCCGGCGGGAAGAGCCTCGAGCCACGGCCCCCTCCTTCCCTGGTGTTTCAGCTGGAGCTGCAGCAGAAGATGCCATCCATATTAAGCGTCTCAGGACCCGTCCCTTCAGCAGCCACGCGGGCACATTTCACACAATACCTCCCTTTCAACGAGTGCACTTTGACACGGGACAGAAGGTGACGGGAGAGGTACCAGAAAACTCTTACACACCGAGTCCGACTTTTAAAAGCATCCGTGTGCAGCACAGTGTAATGATGTGCTCTGCTCACCCCGTTTTGAAATAAAGTAACATCTGCCATAAAGAGCAGGCTGAAGGACGCATCCCTCTTGTGCAAGAGGCCACATTTGTACAGCCCTATAGCCTTCTGCACAGAAGGTTCTGACAGAAAGCATGGCTCGACCACGTCTGTCAAACCAAGTATCGGTACTGACAGCAGTGCCAGCTCTTCCACTGTGGTGCTCAGTTGCGTGCAGGCAGCTGATACACCACCTCCTGCCAGCAAGGACCCAGGTGCTGTCCTATGCTATGCTATCAGTGCTGCTGGCATTAGTACCTGATGGCAATCCCAGGCAAACGCTGGGCAAACCCAGCCTGAGCAGCCCCACAGCCCCTCAGTCACTGCTCTCTCACAGAGGGCCTGCTCAAAAATAGGTTGGAAACATACCATGTCATACTTGCTCCAGGATGGCATCCACAGATCGGATTATCCCTTGCATTGTTGATATTCAATCTTTTAGCACAGAGTCTTGCATTAGTTGACTTGGAGGTCCTGAAGTTCCAACTACGTGTCTAAAAAGAAACAAAAAAAAAAATCGCATGACATTTCTGATTATTTGTTCACTGTCTACATCTGAAAGGGGAGGAGCGGAGACTGCAGCATATAGAATAACAATTCTGCATTTACAGAGGGCAAATAAATTTGCAGAGATCACAGCTCAACTTCCAGATTCCATTGAGTAAGTGATGTTGTCCTCACAGATGAAGTCCTCAGTTATTGCAGACCTGAAGCCCCAGTACATAAGCACAACAGGCTGTGTAGTTTTTTCCCAGTGATAAACAAAAACATCTCTGCCTCCTCCTTGATAGTGGGCAAGGGATGGGGTGGGGGTAAAAACAAAGGAGGCAGGAGTACAGTTTGCTCCCAGTGCCTTACTTCAAGGCTCAGGGGAAGGTTCCACCCTTGCACTGCAGTGCACTCTAACTCCAGCTCACAGTCCTTTTGGCATGGCTGTGCTGGAATGTGCAGGGAGCAGCGAGGTGGTCCTTCTGTGATGCAAGTTGGTTGGATTAGAGTTGCAGTTTCCTGCAAACTCTCTTCCTTCACTTTTCACTAATTGGCAACCTCCAAATAGAAGCAAGAATTATGTGAGCTGTGGAAACTGAAATGCCTGTTATCCTTAGAGAAAGCTTATCCTTCTCTCTTCAGGGTTTAAGCAGGCTGACCAGGCAGTGTGTGTTGGGAAACCTGCCCAGCTAATAAAAAAAGAGGACTTCATTCCTCAAAGCTGCCAGAGCACTGCCTTTCACCAGTACCAGGAACAATCGAGCTACTTGCCACAGGGAGGATTATTCAAGTGAGAGTTTTGCAGGACTGTTTTTAGTATTCCAAATACTTTAAATTAGGAAGAAGTATGGGCTTTTTTCCTCCCTCAATATATTAAAGGCTGCTGAGATTTAATATACTTACCCTACAATGTAGTTGTCATTTAGTGTACATTTTCTACATTTTCTCCCATTTTGAAAACTAAGCAATTTTTTTTTTTTTTTTTTTTTTTTTTGGTTTTTAGAAAGAAATTACAGGGGGGAAAAAATCACAGAGGAGGAAAATAGTGTCTGAAGAGCCTGAATTCATGGAGAAAAAATTAGTTTCCAGACTAAAGTCTCTCAAGTCACCAGCAGTAGGAATCGGCTAAAGCAGGACAGACCTTCAGCAAACACGTAGAGGCAACCATCTACGTTTTCACAGCACTTACATAGCAAAGAGGTGGAACAGCTTTGCTTTTTTAGAAGAACAGAGGGTGCCTGAAAAACCTGAGGACCCCATCAGGAAAAGCTAAGGCCACAGTTTGCTCATGCTCTACATAAATGAGGAAAATCGTGATTTCTTTCAAGATCCCTCTGACTGTGGGTGCTCTGCTGAGACATCTCCTGGGCACAGAAAAGGTCTTCTTCAATCTTTGGTCTTTCATGTCTAGCTTCCAACTCAGTCCAAAACACAAGCCATTAACTTTGATCACTAAGCCTGTTTAAACAAGTGTGATGGTATTAGCAACGAAGATATCTACCAAGTTTCTGTATGCTGAGAAACTTGAGAAAGGAAGGGTTTGTTAGATTTAGAAGTGCTGTGGAAATTGCTGGGCATGTTACCTGCTAGAGTGGCCCAGAAATTATTCTTTCAGAAGTAGCAGTATTGGAACTGCCAAACATTTCATGTTTATCTTGTTGATTCCATGTAGACGTTCAGTAACTAAAAATCTTAATAACACAAAAATCACACAAAGCCTGTGTGACTCTGGAGTAGACAAGATATTAGAATCATGCAGACGCCTTTCCAGGACACTGCCAGGGTGACAGAGCAAGTGGCAGAACAGCTATGCTGCACACAGCCAAACGCCACCAAAAGGACTGCAGGAGAGGCAAAGGCACACAGCATACGCGAGCAGGAAAATCAAACACCACTGGAGAGTGGAGTAGCACTGCGTTACCTTAGTGGTAGTGGCCCACTAATATGCAAGCACATTTTGAATTAGAAAGGTACCTCCAATTACATAACTAACATGGCTATTAAGATATCTTACTTTCATGAGGATGCCAACGTACATTCCCAATTCAGAAGTAGCCTGCATTCCCTTTCTGCGGATCTGCACTGCAGTGACTTCTGGCCACGTAAAAAGCAATTGTCAAACATTCCTAGGAAGTTCATTAGCCCCAGTGTAGCAGTTGTGGAAAGCATAGTGATGCAGACCTGTGTTTGGGAGCACAGGAAGAACTACTATGGTATTTTGGTGCTGGTGGCTTTTTCTGTCTTTGCTGTTCCCTGCAGCATTCCCCCAGATTCTTCCTATCCAGCTTCCCTGGCACAACAAGTTACCAAGGCTAAGGCACGTTTGCTTCTACTGAACCAGTTTACATCTGTGGCTTTGGTGGCTTTTCAGGAAAAGAAGAAAGAGCAAAAGTCACAGATGGAAGAAAAAGCAGTAGATGTTCTGATGAGCAAATTCTGGAGTCATGTAAGTACGTAGCAGGCTGTTTGTATTCATTCCTTAGAGGATTTTCCATCTCTGAGAAAAGGAAGTGGAGAAGCACAGAACGTATCAAGTAATTAACCCTTGGCACCACATCCACAATCAGCATGCCCTGTATGTAAAGAGTAAACAGCAACAGCTGAGGCCAGTTCTAAAGAATTCAACACGTTGAGAATGAATTAAGGCAAAAGTCCAAGAGAGATCCGTCTTTCTCAGTATGTCTGTGCTGCTGTTCTCCTGTGATTGGTTTAAAAAAAAAACCAAAACAACAGCGTATTTTCCTTCAGCAGAATGAACACCGTTCTCACATTTCATACAATTGCAGACAACCTCTTCCTCCCACAAAGGTAATCTAATCGAATTAGAGGAGCAATTCAGCCTGCCCATATTCTCTGGAGACATGAAGGGAAACACTGAAGAGCAAAATCAGATCTAAAGATATATTTTTCTTCCCAAGAAATCGGAAGTTCCTCTAGTAAAAAAGTCAGACATCATTTCTGAAATCTTGGATCATTCTCTCATTCTCTGTCTGGCTGTTTTTTAATCAGCTCTTGCTGTGGCACTTTATCCTCAATTGCATTTTACTGAACAGTAGTTCTCTCAAATGCAGTGTTTGTTACCTAGCTCCTCCTTTACAGCAGACTCATAACTCGTGTTCTTCGTTACAAAAAAATAAAAGTGTTTCCCTAAAAGCAGTTGTAGGTTACAAGCAAATTAAAGAGGAAAGAATCACTTCTCATTTTGAAGAAAATATTATCATCTAACTGTTCATTGGTCTTATTCCTTCGTGTACCTGTCATCCTCCAGCAGAGCTTGTCAGTAACCCCCCTCAGAATATCCTACCTGAAAGAACCATTCTGATTTATTTGGCTCTCTGGCAAGAACTCAATGCATTTGAAAATTCACACACATTTGCAAAGTTCACTTTCTCTCCAAATCATTAGGAAAATTTGCACTAGCCAAGAGAAGCATATTAGATTAGAAGTTCAGACATATAAATCATTCTGAATAGGAAAAGAAGTTCTATTGTTGTGATTTAACTTGTCACTAACAAGATACTTCCTAGGAACTAACGCACGTACAGGAAGACAAAGTTTAGCCAAAGTACTTATTTGCAACAATCTAAAACATTATTTGAGACTTCTCCTAAGTATCTGGAGAGAAAGATGATACCTACCGGTCTGAGGATGTGAAGAACAGCCTGCTCACTGACACGGAGCTGCCGCCAACTACTCATACAACCCACTATGGCACTGCCACGCTTCCCTTCCAACTCGTGATGCTACAGAGTTGTGTACTTCACCTCATCGTTAACGATGACTTCCAACACGCTACCTTCAGAAAGATGGGGAAGTTTTCCCACTTCATCACAACCCAGCAGTCAAAGCACATGTTCTGAACAGCAGGTGGGAAGCTTTCCCCAGCTCTCTACTCCCCTGGGAAGGAGCCATGCTTTTCATACCTTCCCGTTTCCCTCCTTTTTCTCCAGGTCACAGAACTTGATCTTCTAGCTAGCTTAGACATATAAACATTTCCTTCATTTAACACATACCAAAAAATTACACTAACCATCAGCTGATTCAAGCAGCCCAAACATACAGCAGAAACATTTGGGCTTAGTTGAGCATTGAATCTAAATTATACCAGAAAGGCAGAAGTGAAAGCTGCAATTTAATGTAAAATAGTTATTCTGCTTGTATATAACTTGAAGCCTCATTTGGTTCATTTAAACACTGTATCGTGAAGAATATTTTTGTTTCAAAGAACAATAGAAAGCCATCTACTGCGCGCAAAGGTAAACCAGCGCATGGCCAGCACTGCTGAAAGCATTCCCTGCCCACTTGAGCTCTTTGAAAACTTAAACACTCTATAACACAACATCATTCCCAGAGCAAAAGCATATAAAGCAAAAACCATTAACCCTTTCATTTGCCCTGGAGACGATCATTTGTTACCATTAATTAGATACCAAAGTAATGCAGATTGACTTCATTATTTGAATGGTTTTTGAATTAGTTTTGCACCATGTTCCACATAACTGATGCTACCTAATGACACAATTCTCAACATGAGTTAAGAAACAGTGAGAGACAGAGAAGGGAATCTGAATAGGAAAACTAATGTACCAAAAAGTCTAAACAGGTACACTGAAAATCTAGGATAAAAAGGTTTTTTTGTTGCTGTTTGTTTTGTAAATATATGTCCATGAAGCCTCTGTCTTTGGCAACTCCAAAATGCTTTCTGTTTTTATATGGGCTAGAAAGATGAAGTTTCAAGTATTAAGCTGAAAAAATCCCTGGAAGAATTCCATAGTAAATATTTTTAAGCGTGTTAATGGAGCAAAGGTAAAGAAAGAAAAAAAAGATTTGGTTTTCCCGTTTCTGGAGATGAGCAAGGGTAGGGAACATCCACAACTGACAGTTATAATTGTGTAAAAAAAAAAAAAAAAAAAGTCTTTTTTTTTTTTTTTAAAGTTGCTCTTAAAGCTGTCGTGTTCAATAGTGCACAGAAATCTGAAGTAAGAGTACTGCTTTTGGTTTCTCT